GTCTGTCCGCTCAGACTATGAATCTGTTGCCTGACCCACTCGGAGAACTCCCTGAACCTCTTGAACAGCTCCCGGCTCACAGCCGTCACTATTTTGGTGGTGAGACAGAGGGCGGCCGTCACCGCGAAGGCGCAGTTCTGGAACAACACCACATAGAAGTTGCCCAACCATTCGACGCGCCCGAAGTTGCCCAACAGGTCAAAGTTGGTGATACCGACGCTGCGCGCCAGTAGGGGCAGCGCCGACGACAGCACTAACACTATGGCACAGTTGCCGATCACTTGCGTGAACAGCGTGTCCTTCAGCTTAGGCCTCAACCGCCCGATCACTGGTATGCGGTATAAGCCGACCACCGACGCGCACCACAAGTACAGTATGAGCACAATCTCCACGCCGGCGCCTATCGTTCCCATTTTGGACAGGGAGGCGATGCCCAACACGAACGCGTGTTGAGTGGTCGACAGGGGCAGTGCTTTTATGCCGACCAACAGTTCCAGTGTGTTCTGCACGACATTGAGCGCCGACACCGCCGTCAGACACATGAGCGCCAGCATCGCCAACGGGTAGCCGAGGTTACGGCGTAACCACCCGACGCGCAGCTTCTTCTCCAAGCCCTTCCGGAATGACTCCAATTGCGTGAGACTTAGTTCCATGTCGTTGAGCGACGCGGCGGCGCCTCCGCTGTCTCGACGGCCTACTATCCGCTGGCGATCCATGTTTTCGTAGGCGCCGTTCGCCCGGTAGGTCAGGCCAGTGGTGGTCGACGTATGGTTCGTGTGGACACTGTTTGCCGCAACTAATGGTGAATATTGTGTCGACGAAGAGGCGGCGGCTGACGAGTGGTTATAATCGCTGTTTACGGTCGACGACAGAAACGCCGTCAACGATGGCATCGACTTTGACTTCGAGGGCGACTTCGAGACGGCCATCGACTGTGTGTCCGACTTATGGCAGTCTATCTTACGCCGCAGACACAGCTCCTCGAGTTTGGTCTCTTCGTATTCCTCTTGAGTATTGCGCAAAACGTGCGGTTTTGTGATCACTTCACCCAACACTGTGAACAGATTGACAATCCCTAACGGCGTGCACACCAGCAATAGGACGACCCCGAAGAACGAGACGCACGAGTAGAGGAACGGCAGGTAATGCCAGAGTGTGAACATGTGACTGATGCCCATGTCTTCGTAGCCGGTCAGCGCGCACACCAAATACGTCATCCCGAGCACCAGCACCGACAGGAGCACTAGTAGTATGAATGTCTCGTACACTCGGGCCATAATCCCCTTCCGGGAACCGCTGAAGCCCTCGCTTTCGGTGAAGAAGTAGGCGAACGGCAACAGAATGAAGAGCGATATGTTGGCGAACACGAAGACGTAGGACCACAACGAGTGAATCAACGAGTCGTTCAGCCATTGGATGTAATAGCTGTCCGGGTATAGGATTATCACTTCGTTGGTCACTATGGAGAACGGCAACAACAGCGCGGATCCGATGGACACCGCCAGCGAGAACGTACACATCCAGAGGGATATGCGATACACCAGTCCGTCCTCCTCGTCGATAAACAACTGGTTTTCATCGAAACGATAGACGAATACAATCAATAGGATGTCAACACAACTGTCTTCACAGGACATACCTCTTCCCGACGGCGCCTATAGCTGGCGATTATGGCGTACGAAGAGCTGTACAGTATTATCAGTAGTATGAAGAAAATGAGGTGCTCTCGGATCATGTTGTGGAAGGCCTGCTCGCGCGGGTCCACCTCCACGACCACATCCTCGTCCTCTTTCAGTATATACATTGTCGTCAATCAATCGGATGATATGATCATTACCGGCGATGGCGTCGACTATTGGATCCAATGATGTTTATGACATCAATTGCTGTCGAAAAATATCATACATTTTACAAATTATTTTCACATTTTGCGGTCATTTGAGTTCATTGAACACTAAATATGTAGGAATGTCTGCCACTGTATAACACATTCAAGAGTTGTTTTAAAAACACATACAAAAAATAAATTAGTTTTATTTATTATAAACTACTCAAGCGTTTCACAAATTTATTACTAATTAATTCAAACATTAAATCATTTGTTCAAAAAAGTTTAAACCCTTTTGAAATGTCTTTTTTGTACTAAAAACTTGTTTTTCCGTTCAAAATATCATTTTTATTTCGATATTCAATTCAATAGTCAAATGAATGCATTTGTTTTACACATAAATAGTAAACATAATAAAAAAAAGTGAATTTAAATTGAATTATAAATAAAATTTTGAATAAAATCAATGGAAAAATCAATAACTTTTTGTCTGTAAACCAATTTTGAGCCCATTTTTTCATACGCCAAGTGTTGTGTCAATGAGATTGAGTGAAAGGCTTTGTGAAAACTGTTTGTCTAGAAGTGTTTTAGTGATGTCTTCAGTGAGAGACTCACTCGAGAGGTCACGCAAATGACATGCAATGCAATACAATCGGTGGTCTCAATGGACACTCGCCGAAGACATGGAGTTTGTTTTTGGGAGAACTAAGACTTGAGGTATAAGTGCTCTACAAAAACANCGGTGGTCGGCTTATACCGCATACCAGTGATCGGGCGGTTGAGGCCTAAGCTGAAGGACACGCTGTTCACGCAAGTGATCGGCAACTGTGCCATAGTGTTAGTGCTGTCGTCGGCGCTGCCCCTACTGGCGCGCAGCGTCGGTATCACCAACTTTGACCTGTTGGGCAACTTCGGGCGCGTCGAATGGTTGGGCAACTTCTATGTGGTGTTGTTCCAGAACTGCGCGTTCGCGGTGACGGCCGCCCTCTGTCTCACCACCAAAATAGTGACGGCTGTGAGCCGGGAGCTGTTCAAGAGGTTCAGGGAGTTCTCCGAGTGGGTCAGGCAACAGATTCATAGTCTGAGCGGACAGACCACTCTGAACACGAGTTTGCTGGTGAACGGCATGTCCTCACCCACTGTCCATAACTTATATCATAATAAGACTGATAAAAGAGATTAACTTAATCTCCGATTAAGTGTTTATTTGTGTTTGTGTTTCGCAGCGATTGGGAGACAAAAACTCAGTTTTTGGTGTGAAATAAGTTTTTTAGTTTTTATGGCATTTTTATATCTGGATTAACGTAATGTTTATGAGTAATAACGACTGGATTTCTGTGATCGGAAACACTTTATTATCAAACGATATATCAGTAATAATTTTGTTTCGCATTCATAGGAATAGTTTAGATTTTTTTGTATTTTAATATATACCCTGTAATAAGTAATAATCTACGAGATAATTATTTTGATTTGTAAATTTTCTTACCTATTATCTATAAATTATTAATTGATTTTATTTGTAATTTAAAACGCGATTTTTAATTTTTATCATAACTATAAGCGCCATATATTTATTATAAACGAAAAGTAAAAGCAATAAAATACTGAATAAAATGTGCGACAAATGAATGGATCAATTGTCCGACTATTTTGTTATGTAATCAATAAAAGTTTGAATTGATTTTAATGAAAAGTTTGTGTATTTATTGAGATTTTTAAAGCATTTGTGTGAACCTACAGGTAATGCTAAAAAAGGGTTTTCATGTACTGTACACACGATTACCTAATAAAGCAAGTAAAATAGTTTATAACTTTTATAAAAACATTTGGTATTAGTATCACGTGATAAATACTGTAGATTTAGAGCCTAATTATAATATCTATATTTATATATTTACGGTATTTATAAAATGAACTAAAAATTAAAAGCCATTTGAAATAAAAAAAACTTAAAACATTGGCCTCAGATCCAGGTGCTGTTCGGCGGCGCCGCCCTCGCGAATGGGTCGCATGGTTTTACTTCGGAGCGGCGTTAGGGGACCGGTAGTCGCTCGCTGTGACCTCCGCTTAGAAGTGTTGCGAGTGTTGGGCGACCACTCGTTTCGGACTGTCATCCAAATTACGGCAGAAAAGCATTAATCAAAAGATAATGGTCTTCAAAATTATTGCAAACACTTCATACCGTACGACAGCTCAGCGCTGACTATCATGTTATGGTAGGCCTCCTCCGGTATGCCGAACAGCGCCTCCATGAGCCCGATCTGGAGCTTCACTTCGACGGCCATCTGATGAGTGGGCAGATTGGGTGCCGACGAGCCCACGAGTGTCGGCGCAAACACTCGCGACAAAGCCTTCGCGTCCATGAGATTCACGTGCGAATTGGCGGCCACTCTGTGCAAGTGCCTCATGAGGAAGGCCAGGCTGTCGTGGTTGGCGGTCGGCATTTGATCCATGGTGTCGAACAAGAGGTCGTTCACCGCCTCCCGGGTTGTCTGGTCTGCGGGAGAATTAACATCAAATTCATTACGAAATCAATGGCAAGTGTTTGACTATAATTAATGGCAAAACTGGTGTCGATGTTGTTGTCAAACCATTATCAGACACCACGGATCAGATGTTGTCAATCAAGCATTGGACTACTATCTGATTAGTGATGTCCAACACTAGTCTTCGCCCTCAGCTATCGCTGGCGTGTCAGCAAACTTAAGACCAAAATCAATGATAAGACTTAATGGCAAATACCGGCCGCGCGGATGAAGTCGCGCCACAGGACTCGAGTGATCAACGGCTCGTCCAACTCGCGCAGAAACTTCTTGAGCACATTCGTGAGGTCGTGGCTCTGGTAGGTCTCCAGCGATTGGGTCCTCGTCTTAACCTTCAACAGCTTCTCTTTCAACGCCTTCACCGTAGAATCTGAGCCACACTTGCGATACAAGCCCTCGTCGGTGAGCCCCCGGCCCTCCAACTCATTGCACACGTGAATCATAAGGGACGGCACCATCGGTCGGATGTCGGGCGCGAAGTCGGCGATAAGCGACATAAGCTTGTGATCGGTGGGGCTCACGAGGCTCTTGCGGGAGGTCTGTCTCTGCTTCGGCTGCTGTTTGCGAAATGGTATGCAAGGCGTGGGCAGCCGTTCTTTGCAGCAGACGTGAGCGACACCCAGACACACCTCACACACCATGTATGTGGTGAGGAACTGGACCTTCTGGTGACAGGCGCCGCATTGGGTGCCTATGAGTGCCTTTTTGGAGCGGAATGTATGCGTTTTGATGACCAGATCGGCGCTCGAGACCACAGAACTCTTGGAAACTTGTTTCGTTAACTCAGCTACCGATGCCTTCAGGTCGGCAGCGCTCGCGGCTGTCGTCTTGCGGGCGATGTTTCGCAAATCTTCGATGAACTCGGAGTCCGACTTCAGTTGTTTGCGACCCAAATGGTCGCACTTATCGACCGCGACGTCGGAGTCGCTGTGACTTCGGTCTCGTTTGGAGCGCTCTTTCAGCGGTACTTCACTTCAATTCAAACCAAAATTATAATCAATTGATGTCTTGAGAGGTAATAAGTCTTACCTATCGATCATAGTCTCATCGATGACCACAGTCTTGAGCTCCATTGTAGAGGTGACCATCTGATAGGCCGACTGGTCGATGAGATCCTCTTCACTGCTGCCATCGATGAAATCGGTCGACTTCTCGATGATGGGGTCCATATGGATGTAATAGAGTACCCGGTCTTTAGTCTCTTGGCTACTGTCCGTCCCATTCACCACAAAGTCTCTGATGGACTGAATCTGTTTGCGGAGTTCGAGCGCCTGTCGTCTATAGTAGTCCTTTTGCTTGACTTCTTTGCCAAACGCACGCCTCACGCGAGTCACCGACGAGTTCAGTGATTGGATCTCTTCATTGGCGGCCATCAACTGGTCCTTCGCTATACGCAACTCATTGACGGCCGTAAACCAATTGAGACGAACCCTCTCCAAGTTCTCCACCAAAAGCGTGTTGGCTGTTGTCGATCACCGCAAGGGAACCGATGGTTAGTTATCAGTGAGACATTGGTATATGGCTCG